AGAGAAAGATTCAGTGCTCACTGACCCCACCCGCCATGGAGTCCTACGAGGGGACGCACTACAATGTCAAACAAGGACACTGCAGCAACGACTGAAATTATCTTCTTGGTATTTTTCTGAAAATCGTCAGGAATATGCATTATTTTTATGCAGAGGTGGATACTGATCTGTAATTGAATAACATCGAAAAAGTTATGATTGTTTTTTTCAGTAGCGTTAGGTGGTTTTTACACTAATAGGGAATGGTTATAGCATAGTTGTTATACATTATCTATGGAACACTGAACATTCCCTAACTTTTTGTGAAACCTGTGAGGAACTGCTGAGACAAGAGCCAGAAGCTCTGAGTGTTTGTTCTTGTTGAAAGTAAAACGAGGTCAGATTCAAAATTAATCTACAAATATAAAGTAGCAAAATATCCGAGGTGTTACAAGTGTAGCAGGTGTGGATGCGATCAGCAGGTACTCAAAAAGTAAGCCTTAAAAAGAGGCCAGAGAAGCTTTGGCGGAGGAGGTGCTGTCAAGTGCCCAAAGAGAAGTACGTGTGTGTATAGGAGTGGTAAACTTACGGAGATGAGAGGAGAAGTAGTAGAACTATTCAATATCAGGAAAGGAGCTGAGAATACAAAGGTTTTTTCTAAGTGAAATGCAGGATAAGAGGAGAGAAGAGTATCAAAATAATGACAAAATATCATGATCATAACGTGTTGGTGGTCCACATTGGTAGGACAGAGACATATTAACGACTACTGGGATCAAAGAAATCATCACAGCAAAATAATCCCTTGATCATGCCCCACAGAGCTGTACACCTTACTCTTAGGCTTCCGAAACATTCATATTTTCTGGTGTTGAATCAATGATTGCTTGTTAAGGATTGATTAGGATCTTATTTATGTTTCATCTTTGCATAGTTTGTGGAATCAACTTTAAGGTACATTTTAAGAATATTAGGCAAAAATGTAGTATATTGTCATAAATATATAATAGGTCAAGGGTCCTATCTTTAATGATCTTGACGAGGCCTAGTGATCAGCGTGTCCGGTCTGTAAATTAGATGTTCATGGTTAGTGTTGAAAAATGCACTCCATACTTTGAGTTCATGGTTGCGTTATAATAGAGACGGCCAAATCCCATTATTCCGACAGATAAGAGTAGCCTAAAAATTGGCGGTGGGTGTTTTTGACTAGCTGCCTTCTCTCTAATCTATCAGTACAAAATTTGGGACGGTTATACGTTGATAGCATTGCGCGAAAATTTTGAAAATATCAAACTTATTTTTAGGTTATAAGTTAAATTTTAATTTATATTTCTATGTCTACTCAATGGTGATAGTTTGCCAGGTTAATATCCCTTAGGTCAAAGATAGATCAAAGATATTGTTTTTATTTGAGTAAGAAGTTTATCCTTACCCGTGTAAGTCCATCTTTATTTTGATAGTTACTGGTAGTTCGAAGATGCGCTGGTTGTCTTCAAGTGTAAAGTTTTCTGAGTTGGTACTATCGCATAAGGAGAATATATGTATATATTTAGTTACCCACACTCAACAGTTTGTGTAAGATTACAACTGACTGTCAGGCATGTTATGTACGTAAAGCTGCTTTTTTAATATGTTTATTAAAAAAAATGAAAATAATCAAAAGAAAAAATACTTAGCTTCTATTAGGTGGTCAAGAAATTAATGCCATGTTTTGGAACACTTTCATTAACCACCCACAAAAACATACATCACGTATAATAGTTAAACGAACCGCCTAAACGTCACGTTAGTGTAGCCTATATAATGTGTACAGTTTAGTATACTTTAATTGGTTTTGGTTGGAGTGAAAGCAATCCGTTGACGGGTAGTTGAGTAAGCGAGTTCGAGCGAGATTGGTAGTGAACAATGCCACGAAAAAGTGAACGGGCTAGCAGTTATACTGAGAAAGGAGGGAAGGACGTGGACGACCCTCGATGATGGGTGAATGGGTCGCCACTTCTGGCCCAGTTAGCGTGTCGCACAACATGGAGTTTGATCGAGATTGTGCCGACAAACGAGTGAGATCCGATTCAGGGTCAAGTGTCGAATCCATCAGACACAAAAAGTCGACTCCAGATAGAAAACAAATAGTTTTTGTAATATCGCCGGACGTCAATATTGCGAAGGTCAATCCAATGCTCTTAAGTAGAGCCCTTAATGATATCCTTGGGCCC